AGTGGAGTGCTGGCTGGTTTAATTTGCACACCACCTACCCAGAACCATCTCCAGTCCAATCCACAGCTATGATTTCAGAGCAGTTTGGCTTCCCAGCTCTGGAAGCAGGTTGTTTTCTTGGCATTGACTGGAGTTATCCTTCTGTTGCATTATTGCCCTTCTGCGTGCATTGGGTGTCAACAGAAGGCTGCGGGGAAATAAAATGTCACACCCCACCATAAGGAAGAACGTGATTGTTCAGTGTGTCGATCTGATTGGCAGGAGTTGAGCAGGTTTAGGGTTAACTTTAAAATCATATATGTAACAGAAACAGCAAGTATAATTTACTGAATTTGGGATTCACCCCAAAGGTTTGAAAGCACCTGTCATTTTATATCAACACGCTCTTCTTTCTTTCTTTAAGCGCTGTTTTCATTGTATGCTACACATGCCAGGTGGCTTGGGAAGCATGTTAAATGAAGCTCAAATTATTTACATTGAACTGATTCCACCTAGGCGCTTGTGATGCCCAATTGCACTTTGGTTGCTAGGCAAAGGCTTTCCCAACAGATTAAGGTGGTGGGTGGACAGCGCCCCATGGTAACTCATAGTATGCAAAGTCTGTGGGTTTGGGAGCAAGCCTGTCTACTGAAATGATCCTTCCTAGCAGCATTTACCCATTACATGGGTGGAAGCAGAAAGGGAAGCCCTGTTACTCCAAAGGGATCCATATAAGTGGTGCTCTGTTTATGCTTCATGAGTATATTGTGATGGGAGGAGCCATTGCTGAGTGCTGGGGCTCCTACTTTGCATGCAGAAGGTCGCAGGTTCAATCCCCAACATCTCCAGGTAGGGGTCCTCTCTAAAACTCCAGAGAGATAGGTAGGGATGTTAGGGATTGAACCTTGGACCTTCTGCATCCCAAGCAGATGGTCTACCACTGAGCTTTGGCCCTTCTCCTAAGCCATCCCAGTATAATTGCAGACTGGGAAAGATATGTCATTGAGAGTATTGAGGGAAGAGGAAGGTCTTCAGCAGGAGTTCCCATTCCACACACCCGCACCGTGCAAAGCTGGTAATAGGCCCAGACCAGATGGGAGATGTAGACCCCATTGTAGGCCCATGCCAATTACACCCACCCAGCCACCCCATTGTTTTGCCACACACTTACCAGTTTTCTGTTTGGAGGGTGGAAATGAGAGAACTGGCTTCCTCTCTGGTGATCTTCCTGATTGTGGCATGCCTTCCCCGTCTGGCAAAAACCTCATCATCCTTCCTGCACCAGGCAAAGTTGTTTTGATTCTCTCTGGTATTTGGACAGTGCTAATGGTCTGACTTACGAATGCTTATATTTCAATGCTTGTGCAATTGTAGTTGAAACTTGTAAACCATTTAGAAGCCTATTTTGGCGTTAGGCAGTAAATAGTAATAATTTATTAAATCTCTATACTGCCCTTCATCTGAAGATCACAGGGCACTGTACAAATAATAATAATAATAATAATAATAATAATAATAATAATAATAATAAAAAATCCATAAGAAAATCTTCTGGTTTTATGTATGTGCTGAATATGTTTTCCCAAATTGCTCTATAAGAAGGGGAAATGTTCATTCTAAATGGGCAGTGAGGGAACTCTGATGAGGAAGACGGAGAAGAGAAGTGAGTTAGAGAAGAGCTAGCGGGGTTTGCTTTGGCGCATTTCCATTTTGATTCAGGTTGTTCCTCCTCCCCCTTCTTTGGTCCCATCTCCCACATTCTTCTTCCCTTGGGTTAACTCAGAGTAACACAGTTTGGCAAGCTTGGATTTCTTCACCTGTCCTCATCCTGCCAGATGTCTGCTTTGAGATCAATTAATATTGATATTTTGCAAAAGCTGCCTGTACACTTTTGTTTCCTTAAGTCAATGAGGACTAGAAAGCTGCTATTTAAACTTCTGTGCGTTTTGTATCAACAGGCTAGATTTTAGCATGTGAAAGGGCAATCAGGAGTTCTGTGGAGTCCTAAGTGCCTTTGAGCTTGACAGAATATGACTCATTATGATGATTCTGGAATTTCTGGCAATTTTATGATGTCCTTGGGTGGGGTGGAATGACAGATTTTATTTTGGAAGCAGGTGACTTCCTTCCTGAAATCTCCTGGGCAGTTCATCAGGGCCATGGGAACATTTGCCAGGAGGCATTGCTCCATCTGTCCCTGCTTGGCTCTCGGGGGGCAACATTTTTTGCTTGCAGTTTTTGTTTGCTGCTGTTGTAGCATTTGAAATCACATTTTGTGCTCTTTGAATTTGCCTGCACAAGGCAACTGGGTCACACCCAGCTCTGTTTATTTATAACAGCATCCAGGCCATCTTTAGGTCTCGTAACTGGACTTATTAAGAGTTTCTTGACGTTCCTTGCAGAAATGGAGCAAATGAGGGGTGAGGTGAAGTCCCCAGATAGAAAACAGCTTAACAGGGAATATGATCCCCAGTGTCTCTAGGTAGGGCTGGGGAAAGATCCTGAGGCCCTAGGGAACCCCTGACAGCCAGTGTAGGCAATGCTGAGCTAGATGGACCAATGGACAGCATAATGCAGCTTCCTCTGTTTATATCCAGAGCACCAGTTTCTTCAACATACAGCTCAATGTTTTTTTTAACAAAAGAGACCTTTGGAGATTGGGCAATGTTGTATTAATTCAAATCTATTTCTTACCCAACACTTGTTCCCGTCTCCTATTTAGAGCTGCAACCTTTAATTCATCACTTTAATTGGGGATCAGGCAACACCTATCTAAGTAATGTTCATATGTATTCAAACCCATAGCTGGGTTGCCAGACCTCTAGGCTTCAGTCTGGCTGAAAATTATAGCATAAACACTCAGGCAGGGGGTTGTCCTCTCCCTCCATTCCCTCCCCTCTCCCAATTAACCTCCATCTCCAGGAACTTCCCCCATGACATCGCCAGGGGCCACCCCTAGGTCTGAATTTGGGCCCTGGAATATCAGGGTCTGAGATGCTCCTGGCCTTGCAGCCCTCTGCACAGCAGGCTCCCATCTTCTTTCCTAGGATTAAGGGTATGTGTGGGGCTGTCAACTGAATTAACAGTTCATCAAGAGGTTCAGAACCTGTGGCTTGAATCAGGAGGGTAAAGTGTTTAAAATAAGCAATGCCACACTACAGGTGGTGACCAGTGGGGTGTAGGAACTGGGAAGGGGTGGGAATAGAGGCCTCCTTTTGTCCTGTTCTTCCTTGAGAAGGGGTGTGCACAAAATTATGCCTTGTTCCATTTCCTTTAGGGAGAACAGAAAGGAGGAATGTGTTGCGAAGAGCTGCACTTCCACAATTTGTCTGCCCCATAAACTTGTTTTCAAGAGCAAGGCTCTTGATTTCACTTTTTTTATTCTTTAAATGATTTTTATTTAAACATTTATTCCAGGTTAAATCCTACAAAAAACAAAATAACAGCAATAAAAACACTTTGGCAGAGAATGGGTGGGGGTGGGAAATACGGAAAACAAAGGAATATGTAGAGGAAAGGAAGGAGGAAAAATAGTCTATTGAACATCACAAATCAAAAAATGACCAAACTGTGAATTAAAACCACCATTCTCTAAGAGATTTTAGGGCAAATGTGGGGAACTTTTGGCCCTCCAGATGTTGCTGAATTATAATTCCAATCATCCCTAGTTTATTGGCCATGCTTGCTGGGGCTGATGGGAGTTGTAGTTCAGTAACATCTGGAGGACCAGGGGTTCCCCACAACTGTTCCAGAGAGGACATTTTTACTGATAATTTTATTGGGGGGTTTTGGTAAACCATTTTGAGGTTTTATTACAATCAAGGGGTGTATTAATCTTCTGAAACAAATTTGGCTCTATGGAGTCTACATTGGAACGAACAGGTGCAGAGCTGCCTTGTGGGTACTCCTCACCTGCAAATGGTTGTTGGAGCTCCAGGTAACTTCAATGGCAAAGAGTGTTTGCCCAGCTATACTTGGCTCACCAGCTAAGGCCATTCCCAGATTGGGACAGACTGGTTTCTGTAATTCGTCAATTTCAATGTGTCTACTGTGGGAACAATTTAGTTTGGATACAAGGGGGGATTATTTGTTTTTGTTGCTTGCTTCAAAACTATAGTGTATTGTTTTACTCATTTGCAAATGCATGGAATTTAATCAATGGACTAAAGCATGATTAATCATGTAATGGACAGGTGGGCAACCTGACACCTCCCTGAAGCTGCCCCTTCCCTTCCATCCTATCAGCGTCCCTTCCTTCTAGCACATTTCCTCATTTCCCCTGGCTTTTAAAACATGCCCCCCCCTTTCTGTACAGATCTCAGACACAAACACACAATATTTCTTTGAGAGTAACTTATCAAACCCAGAGAGGCAATTCTGAGTTGACCTGCACAGGAAAGGGAATTCTCATCTCAGCTAGCTGTGGAACAGCTGAAGCTGGACCCTCAGTTAAAATGGAATTACTACCTGTTTGCTTTGACTGTGTAGCCACAGTCAGCATGTGACGCCAGAAGGAGTGCAACCCTCAACAGAAAGAGGTTCCCCATTCTTGGACTAGTATTTTTTTTTTTTTAATGGTGAAAGGGTTATAGACTGTGGCATTACTTGTTGGGGTGGTTTAGTGGTTAGACTGTCGGACTAGGATGTGGGTCAAATCCCATCTGCCTACAAAGCTCGGCCACCATTTCTTAGCCTAGCTAGCCTACCTCACAGGGTTGGTGTGAGGATAAAAGGCTTCGGGTGGGGAGAAAAACCGTGGAAGCCAATTCTAATCTCCGCGGAGGAAAGGCAAGATATAGAATGCGAGCGATGAATTAATCAGATGGATTGAATCACCGCGGAGGCTATGCCATTCGGGTCCTCACCTCTCCCCAATCCCTAATTTACTCTCCGCGCGGCTGTAGCTCCGCCCACTCCCCCTTCTTGCATCCACCTTATCCGGTGGGCGTGGCTAAGATCCGAGCGGCTGCCCTATGAGCGGCTGCGCCTGGGCCCTGCTCGCCCCGAGACCACGCCCCTTTGGAACGCTCGGCGGTTTTGATACATTTTCAGGTTCCATTGAGAAAAAAACAGACACGCGCGCAGAAGCCCCCGTAGAAATCTTGCAGAACGGGAGCCGGGAGGAGGAAGAAAGAGAGCGAGAGAGCGGCGCTGCGGGAAGGAAGCCGGAGCCCGCCGAGTGCCGGATCGTCAGCGGGGGACGCCGTCGCTGGCGGCGGCGGGAAGCACCAGAAGACTACGCGGAGGAGAGCGACGGAGGCGCCACCGCCGGGCGAGCAGCCCTTCTTCTCCTCCTCCTCCTCCCGGCCAGCTCGCCCTGCTTGCCCGCCGCCCAGCCCTGGGAGCGCCGGGTGGGCATGAGAGCCGCGAGCCGGCCGCCCCCCGCCAACCTGCCTCTGCAGCCGCCGCCGCCGCCAGAGGAAGACGAAGCCGCCGCCGCCCCGCGATGTCCAGGAGGAAGCAGAGCAAGCCCCGGCAGATCAAACGTGAGCAGCGCCGCCTCCCCGACAACTTTGCTGTCCGCCCGCTCCCCTCCCCCGTACACCCCGTTCCTTGGCCGCTTCCCGCCCGCCCGGGCTCGGAGTACCGCCCCCCCCATCCCGCTAATTTCTTCGTTATTTGCTTTTCTGTGTCCTGTCCCCGCGCCTTCCCAATTTCCAGATGTACTCAGAGTTGGTGCTTCGAGACTTATTCCTCTCCCCCCCCCCCGCCAAACTCTGAAGGGTTCTCCTTCCCCGGAGGTTTTCTCCCTCCACCCTTCTTGTATATTTCTGACTGGGGAATACTCCTGCCTTGCGGCGCGCTTAAAACACCCCCCCCCTCGCCGCCGCCAATTATCCTGGAGTGACAAGGCGTGTGTCTGTGGGGCGGGGGGGGGGGCTTTCTGTCCCCGACCCTTTCGACGCGGGGCTAATTGCCCGGGACCGTCCTCTTTTCTGCACTTCCACGCTTCCACCACTTTGATCTTTGCCTTTTCCCGAAGGCTCCGGGTCAGTTTCACGTCCCACTTCCATGCAGCTCCTGGATCGGGTCCTCCCCGCTCCATCCCCCTTCTAATAGTCTTCCTTGCTGGTTTAGGTTTTAGGTCAATCCTAAGAGTCTCCGGGCGGGAGGGGGGATTGCGCGATCCCATTCTAGTCCCTCCCCCGCTGCTCAACCGCCTGCCTTTTACTTGACCCTCGTGGGAACGAACTTGGCAGTCTGCGGGGGGGGGGGGATGAGGCGTCATTTTGACAGCTGCCCTGTAGATGGAGGCGGGGGGGGCGGCGGCGGCGGCGTTGTCGCTCCTTGTTTGTCCCCGGATAAGAGGAATTGCTACCACCCCACCCTCGCTAGCAATGCTTCTTATTTACACAATGACCATTCTTGGAAGCTCCCCCCAGCGCCTCCTCAGAAAGCGGCAGCCTGCAAGCCAGACGACCCGGTGAGGGTCTCTCTCGGGCTCCGTGGCGGCAGAAGTCCCCCCTTTTGGGGGTTGGCGGCGCGATGTCCTTTGCCCCCCGATCTTCCTGCTCCATCCCCGCCCCCTCCTCTCCTCCTTCCCTGGTGCGATCGCCAGGCCGATAGAGCCGCCCCTGATGAGAGCCGAGATAAAGGCTTTAAAATATTCCTTTCTGCAAGTCCCGTCCTGATAAGATCGCCCTGTCGGGATGGGCTGAAATTGCGATCTTATCTCGCGCTTGACTCACTCCCATCTCCTCTTGCATTAGGAAGCCTCATCTTGAGGGACTTTTGCAAATGTTGGCGGTGCGCGTTTTTAAAGGGGAGGGGGCTTGGGAGAGGGTCTTCCTTAGGAAATTTCTTGGAGGGGGGAGAAAGTTGAGGGGCTCAGACCCTGGTTAGGTTTTCACTGTCTGTGCCTGGGACATTTGGTGCCTTAAAAACACCTGCCTCTGAGTGTCTGCAGAGTGCGTTGTGGTACTCCTCATTTATATCCTGATGAGCTTGTTGTCCCTGGAGGAGGAATAACAGAAAAAGGAAGTGAGAAGATTATATCTTCTGAACTAGGTGGGTGTAGACTTGTGAGTTTCACAGCACTCTTCATCAAGGAAAATGCTTTCGCATGTGCATCATTGAGGCATTGAGATTTGTATTTGTGGCCTTTGGAGGTGTGGACAGTTGAAGTGCATGCTGTGGACGTGATGCTCATTGAAGGAGGACCCTCTGATTGTGTCCGATACAGAGAATTGTGTTGCTGGAAATCACTGGAAGCGAGGCTCCTGTGAGAATGTATCCACATGCAAGGTACGGGAGCAAGCTCACTGCTGATAATGGCTTCCCAACCAGGTGAAGAGTTATGTGAAAGTTGGAAGCTTGCATAGGCCATGCTTGGACCAATCATGGACGTTTTCCCTATTTTACATCTCCTACTTGGTCATTTATTAGTAACTATTCCTGCATCTGGAGAAAAGGAAACAGTTTTGGTTTCACTTGACTATTTTTTTTAAAAGTAAAGTTTTTTTTTAAGGTACATGTTACAAAATCCCAACTCTCCCCCACTTTTGTTTTCTCTTTTTTGCAGTTGTTATATATTGGAAATTAATAAAACTATTTTTTAAAAGGTACATTTTAATACTCTGCTAGGTTGTGGGAAGGGTCATCAAACCATAGAGATGTAGAGAACTAGAAGGGACCCCTCAAAGGTCATCTGGTCCAAACCGTCTCAACACACACTGTCCCCCATCCAGTTTGAAACCATACCGGACCCTGCTTAGTTTTGCAAATGTGCCAGCAGTTTTTATTGCTGAACCACCAGGGGGTGCTTGCAAGGTTCCAGGTCCAATCCCTGACACCCCCTGCTTGAAACCCTGGCGAGCTGCTGCCAGTCAGAGTAGACAGTACTGAGTGAATTGGACCAATGTTCTGCTTTTGGATGAAGCGCCTTCCTATGCCCCATTCCCACAAGTTCTCTTTATGATTCTTTCTCCTCCTTGCTCTTGTGCTGCTGGTTATCTTGTCCTCCCTGATGCTTCCGATCTGCATATCCATAACCCAATTAAGTTTTGGTAATCCTTGATTTCCATATCCGGGAACATCAATGTTAGGCACCACCCTCTCTGCAAGTTTAACTCTCCTGGGCATTCATATTGGTGTCTCTGGATCAAACAGTTCTCTTGAGGTTCTCAAACTGATCCGTCAAAGGTGGTCTGGATTCAGGTCAGCCATCTAGGAAAGTGATTGTTTGTTTTGGGGGGGCACGGGGGGATTTTAATATCAACTACTGGAACATTCCCACTGGCAGGTTTGACTGCTTTTTTTCTGCTCCCTTCCTTCCTGAACAGATCTTAGCCGCTGATAAGGCAGAGAGAGAGAGAGATGTGTGTGTGGATAGGGAAGCAGGGCCCCATGTGATAATATTGCTTTATCTTCCCCTGGAAATAATTGCTATACTAAGCTGCATCTACCTGTTTGCCTGCCTGAGGTGATTCCTTTTACTGATAAGAACAAAGCAAACTTTTTTTTTTTAGGGTGATAGTTACCCCTGCTCACACCCCTGCAATTTCCATTAAGTTTTCTGAATATCCAACTTCTTCTTTGCCTCACAACAACTTTAACAACTTTTTTTTCCTTTAGCCACTCCCATTGTTTGTGGGGGTGGGACTTCCATGCCATCAGCTGCTTCATTATTTTGGATGTCTTCTATTTGGGGAAAAGCCATAGCTCAATGGGAGAGCATCTGCTTTGCACGCAGCAAGTCCCAGGTTTGCTCCCCTTCCCAGCATCTCCAGGTATAGGGATGAGAGAGACTAGTGCCTGAAACCCTGGAGAGCTGCTGGCAGTCAGTGTAGACTGTATTGATGGGGCAACACGTTCCTATACAATAATAAGTTTGTAACAATCTGGGATCCTGCTGGCTTGAAAAGTGGGTACTAAACCTCTTATACAAGGGGAATTGGGTCGATTTGACAGATTTCCACCCATCACAGTGGAAAACCAATGTGAGGAATTTCCCATGTTCAATATGTGCTTAACTCGCCTCCCCTGCCCCGTTCTTTAATTTCCCCAGGTTTCAGTCCAGGAACATATGAAACAATGAGTGCTTTTGGGCACATGCAGAGTGTATCTTTCCCTTGAAATATTTGGGATTAGGCATACGAGCTCCTAGTTAGAAGGAATGGGTTGCAGGTGGGATTATATCTGGAACGCTTGAAGAGAATGGGAGGGAGGCTAAGCCCCAGGGGTTTCTGCGATGATGTTTTTGGCATTCAGCTGTGCTGTGCGAAATGCTCCCAGATTCCCTCAAATGATCCCGTGACGTGCGTAATGTGTACACCAAGAGTGAAGTTCACGAGGGGGTTGAGGGGCTGGTCACGTTCGCCCATTTCTTTTTGTGTAACTGGAGGATTTGTGGGTCTGTGTGAATTATCTGGTGTTGGGTGGGAACCTTTAAAAGAAGAAGGGAAACTTCTTAATGACAGGCAGGCTGGGGGACTGCAAGGAAGGCCAAGTGCTGCTTCAGTTGTGGGCTTAGGAGAGGCGCAAAGTGATCTGCCTGCTTCTTTTCTTTGGCGGAGGAAAGTGGCGCCATCCAGGACTGCAGGCCTCTTAGCCGCCCCCTGGCACATGCCTAGCAGAGATCCTGTGGCTTCCATCTTCCGGAAGATGCCGTTTGTTTGGGTGGTGTGTCTTCCTCTCCCCCCCCCCTTTCTCCTTTCAACTTTCCACCCTGTTTTGTCTTGCCAGGAGTTGTTAGGTCTTTCTGAGCTGCTGTTGTGCATTAATTTCCAGCTCCTTTCTTGTCACCCCCGTGCGCTGTTCTCCGCTTAATAAGGAGCCAAAGGTGATCCGAAGATGGATTGGGATGTTTGCAGGGATGGGCAGCTCTGTGAATACATTAAGCTGACTTGCACTTGAAAGCTCCAGGCTGCTGCTGCGGCTCCTCCTCCGGTTTCTTCAGAGATGCGAAGGGATGATAAAGTGGAGGATGTTGATGGGAGGCCAGATAGAGATGGCCAGAACTGATGAAGGGGTTGGAGATGGCAGATAGGCACCCTTTATTGTCCCCACCCCACCCTCCGTTGGCATGAAAATGGCAGTCAGCAAGTACACAGGGCAGTGAAATACGTGGGTGTTTAGAAAAATTGTTCTTTTTGTTACTTTGCTTTCTCTCAAGGGGGAGAAAAGTATGCATGAGTTAAGGCTCTTGTAACTGAGCTGCAGACCTTTTTTTTTTCCTTTTTCTTTAAGTAGATGTCAGATCATCTCTGCCTTCCTGATTCATATCTGCTGACTTGAGTTTGCTTCACTGCTTCTTGGCTCCATTTCTATTCTCAATCTCCCCCCCTCCCCCCCCAATGCCTGATGTGAAATGCAGATAAATTTGAAAGAAGGGGGGATCTACGAGGGGGAGGAAGCCTGGGAGATTGACAGAAAGTGATTAGATGAAGATGAGACGTTGGATTATATTTAACCAGCTAGTTGGTGTAAGTTATTATTACTATGATAATGAATTGCTTCTCAGGCCACAGATATGCTGCCGTTTGTT